AGACATGAATATAATAATTAGTGAAGTTAAGGTGTATCACCGGACCAGTATTCTGTATGAAATACTGAGCAGAGCTATAAAATCAGCAGCAAGATGTCTTGAAACCAAAATGAGTTTCCAAATGAGTGTCTATTTCCAAATAGAAATGGCGTCAATCATAAATGTTGATCTTGTGGAAACTAATTTAATGGGAAAACTCAGCAGAGATGTTCAAACCACAATTTAATACAGTCTACAATCCTGAAATGCAATTAATCTGCTTGAGACGGTAATACTTCCAAGTAATAATTTCAACTGCAGCCTTAAAAAATTCTGCACCTCCGATTTAGCTATTAAGCTTTAGAGATGGGCTAGCAGCCAGATGTTTATAAACTCTTTTCAGGTTACAATTTAGTTACGGTTACGGGGTTAGACAATGTCCTCTCATTTAGCCCTTCAACTGACTAGCTTAACCATTATTTGCCACTACACTAGGCATATGCACCCTGCTGGCTGCTACTCTCCAATGCCAAGTCATCTATTTCCCCGCTACTGCTAGGCTGAGGCTGCTCCATTCATCCCCTAGACAGCCTCCTTTCAGGGGAGCATTACAGGCTCAACAGACCTCTTTGTTGGAGTTCTATTTACACCACCATTTTTTGTTACTCAGATTGTGAAAGGAAACAACAGGAGATGGAGAGGAGACGGACTGCTAACACAGTGGACCAGAAGTCATCAAGCTCGGTTCTTTGAAGTGATATGCACAGTAAACACAGAAACTATACCAATATGTGAAATAACTCGGTGGTCTAAGTGCAATTCCCAACGGACAAATGGATCTATATCTACAAAAAGTCAGCATCATAATCAGCAATAACTGGCAACCTTCCCCGCTATTTACAAAGAACTGCTGTGTAATTATTCACCCGGCTCTCATTGATTATAATGGGATTTGGCTGGATAAATCCCCATGTAACTCTTTGAAAATTTGGGAGCTCTAAGGCAGTCACTGCTCAGAGGTGCAAAACTGAACACACATTCAGATGGAATGTGCTCCCTTCCGAACACAGCTAGAACGCAGCAGCAAGTATTGTGAGCCTCTGACTTGATTGCTGCTGTCTCAAAGCTGTTGTGAGACAGCAACACACCTCCCCGCAGCAGGACAGCACAATGACGCTGTGCCTCCTGGACACAGGAGCGCTGGAGCACATGCTGAACTTTGAAGATGTGTTTAATTCCCTTTGACTTCAGCAAGACTAAAGCACGCACACGACTGCTTCGTGGCACAGATTCCAGCATGTGACCCAGGGTGTAAGGCATATGGCAGTGGTCCAGAGGCCTCGCAGTGCCTTCAGTTGTCAGGTTTTAGCTGGGGAAGCTGCGTTGCATACACACCATGCTGCTCAGCAGCTGCCTCCCTGGTACGCCATGGGCCGGCATGCTCCTGGCCCACTCCACAAAGGCTTTTGCAGCCACATCGCTTCACTCCCATGATTCACCCTATCTACTTCAGCGGGAGCAACACTCTGCATTTCAGTGAGCAACAGCAGGACAGAGGCTTTAGATGCTGAGGTGAAAGATACCGTATGTTGAGCCACAAGCTGAGCAGGCATAAACAGCCTGGCTTCCTACACCAGACAGCAGCTCCAGCACAAGTCTATCCGTACTGCCCATTTCCTTGCTGTACTCTGTTATCCCCCAGCGGTGTTATCTTCTTCATGTCGTGCAGCACCCTACCGCCCAGCTTCAGCTTTCTCTCCAGCCCTCAGCCATCCTGCTCCTTTCTGAGCTTCCCTGAAAGGCAGCTCCACGCTACTTCAGTCGCCAGATTTTAAGTTTGCAAGTGCGTGTCACCACGCTACCACTGGCCGTGCTGTCCATCGGCCTTCCCAGCACTCTCCCACTCTGTGCTGCTGTCTTCCAAAGCGGTGATGCCTTAGACAAGATAAACACCACCGGAGGCAAAAGTAATGTTACTTCTCTGTGATAATTATTTCCCATTTCTACAGGGGGATAGATGCTGTAAGATGTAAGATAGGCCTACGTGTGTTGCCTTTACCATGAGTCCACTGCCAGTCTTTCAAAATATTTTATTGGTGTCCAAATTCTGGGGTCCTGGGGTGATAAAGGTCACATGGTTTTAATTTTATGAAATGTGCATTTTTACACTTCCTTTTTCAGAAAAAAAGAAAAAGAAAGAAAGAAACTGAAAAAGAGAACCCTAATAGCTAAAAAATTAAAAGTGACTAAGAACAACTGTAATGTTATTGCGGAAAATTTTCTATTTTCAAGAACAAGGGGATTGGCTCTCGAATTTTCATTATTTGAAATAAAGAGGTTTGCTTCACTAACTTTCGCAGATATGAAGAAAAATACATTTTCATGTCCCGCTTTATGGCAGATTAACTTACTATTTCTCCCTTGTCTGATGTGCTTTGCTGCTTTTTATAAGAACATCCTTCACAAAATAAAAATGTTCTTCTTTTATCTGACAATATCCAGAGGCTGGACATAAAACAGACAGTGCACAGAGCACAGTGTATGCATGCATGTTCCAGTGCACAGAAACTTGCACTTTTAATTTTAACCAGTGTAAATGACAATTAAAAGCAATAGCCTTTCAACTGCTGTAAGAAGAGGTCCCAATTTTGCATTTTATGGGGTAGTTAGAAAAACAAAATTTTATTGCCTGTATAGGGGAACAATTTTCAGTGATTTAAGCTTATAGAGAAACCAGCTGATGGCCATCTTGCTTTGTCTGTATTGCTTTATTCTTTGATCATAAATGTATCCAATTAATATTTTAATATTATTTAACTTTCTTGGTAAATTGTGTGCATCATGCGATATAAAAAAGTATACTAGTTACTATTATTTTCCTAATGGGTTTTCCTTTCCAGTACAGTATTGTATGTAGTTATCACATTGAGAATTTGCCAAAATTACCTGACAGACCTGCTCTGGAGCTTCAGCAGTTCTGACATTCCCACAAAAGTTCCAAGAAGAAAAAAAAACCATCATATTTGCTTCCCAGGAGTCCCAGAACCCAGCCTAGTCAGCCAGAAAGAGTTGTTCCCCTCTAAGGCCAACGCAAGCCTTTTAAGCATACAAACTTTATGAAAACATAGATGAATCCAGTAAAGCAGTCTTTAGCAGGGAGCTCAAAGAATAAAATTTAAAGTGTTTGTTGTGTTCTGTTGAATGGTGGGGTAAAGCTAACAACTGACAGGGCTGCCTGGTCATCAAGAGATTGATATGGAAAAACAGGGCCCCAACTGTTAATTGCACGTGTCATTTAAATTGCTGTGATTTGGTTTACACTATCTTACACAGCACCTTGGCTTTGATTAGATTTTTGCCAAGTGCTCTGAGACTCGTTTGATAAGTGCTATAAAGCTACAGTATGTGCGTACTGAACATGGGCAGGATTAGTGTGCACAGAAACATTCCTCTATCACCTAGCCTCTTGTCGGTTGCTTAGCCCTATTTATTAAAACACTGAAGAAAGAAAGGGAAAAAGTAGGGTAACAACATATACAAATTTTCCCTTGAATAGTTCTGCTTTGTTGTAGGTAAATGCTCTTTAGCCTTCCAATTTTCAAAAAAGATCCTGCTGTTGCATTTTAAAGAGCACTTAGAAATATAAAGCTACTACTTTTATAGCAGAAAAACATTCAGTGATTTAAGCTTATTGTGAAGGGTTTGATGGATATTCTGGGTTAAATGGCCAGTATGGAAACTATGCAATGAAACTGCATAAAATTATGACATGCAACCCACTTTATTAATATATATACACATATATTTTTAAAAATATATATGTACTCGTGGGGAAATATCTAGGGAAGGTACAACTCTCTTTCCTAGATAAGGCCTTTCCTTCCCACCAGTGGCTGATACTAATTAATTCTATTACTGTAGCATTTATTCATGTACATACTAGGGGCAGCACACAGTCCTGCCACTTGGGGAGAACTTTGTGGCAAAGACTGCGCAAGTCTCGCTGGCAGGAGACTCCAGGTGGGGAGTTTGCCAGCTAGCAGGGAACAATTTGTAAAGCTGCTGTACCTGAACAGCACTTGGGTTGCAAACCCAGGCCCCGAGGTGCTCTGTGTAGGTGCAGAGCAGGGCCACCCTTGGATTACTGCAAGGGATGTCACACCACGAGGGTCAGCCCCTGCCGCCCTTCGCTGCAGGACTGATGTCTGCTACGTGTGAGCAGGGGTAGACCAACTAATGGTACTTCTCACCCCGTACAACAGAGACACACCGAAAGCCTCCTCCCGCGCTATACAAAAAGTGAAGGACCACGTGCAAGCCCTTGGCAACCTTGCCACTTAAAATTAAGCACTTCATGGCCCTTCAGGACTTGCATGGGTGGCCATCTCTTCAGTATCCTCAGTAACAGTTTTAGAAAGGGTCAGGAGACCACATACCACCTCCATTTGGTGTCTTGCGCACCACGTAACAAAATTACGTAATTACCTGGCACCAACAGACAATGATAAAGTTTGGTCAGCTGCTGCCATGGGAGGCTTCGAGCAGCCTGCTCGAGGGATCTCTAACAGGCCACTTCCTCACAGCCAGTCTCGCTGCAGGCGTGCATGTGTACATCTGCATACAGGTGCGTGTGTAAGAGGTGGTGTTGGCTGTGTGATGAGGAGCCGCATTTCAGCCCTGTTGCCCAGCAGGCTGTGAGGGAGCAGAGACCTTGGGGGAGGCCCAGGCGCTCCCCAGGAAGAGGCAGAAATAAACCCGCACCTCTAAACCTAAACCCAGTGCTCCCGCCCCAAAATAGAGGGGCATTCGTGCTTCCTAGCCCACTGGCTTGGTGCCACCCACCTCAGTGGGGCTGGGCACCCCTCCATTCACCCACTCCTGGGGAGTGAGGCTGTCGGGCCCTCGTTCACCTCTACACCTTTTTCCTTCCCTCTTGGAAAATGGAGTCATCAAGAAACTTTCAACCTTTCCCTGCCGTCATACAGCTTTCGCAGGGTTTTTGACAGCTGGCCCAGGGCGAGATGGTAGCTCTCTATAATCATAATTATGCTTCATTTGGACTGCAGTAGGATCGAAAAGCCCAGGCACAATTTTTGGGTGCTTAGTGGCTAAAGCATACATAAGAATACATGGGCCTTCCCCCAACAACCTTGCAATCTAGTTTAAAACAAGACACAATAGATGCTGGACAATTAGTGCAACGCTGCAACAAAGGTGAGATCAATGCAGGTATATTTAGAGAAATTACTTTTTTCAAAATTAAAGCCTCCCCCAAATTCTCCATCATCCGACTGAGGAAGTTAAAGCACACATCAGCACAGATGTCTGCACAAGCAGAGATCTACTTGTCTGCTCTGGAGTTTTTATTTCACCCCTGTGCAAATAAACAGGGATTTACCTGGTCTGTAACAAGAAAATAGTTGTTCTACTTGTATAAAAGCCATTCTGCCCATACTTTTAAGCCAGTGTTATTTTCTTGTCCTGTTCTTTCCCGTTTTAGGTGGATAACATTGGATTACACCTCATTAGCAAGTACTTTTTACCCAGCAGCCAGAAGAGAGGCCCTGACTGCACAAATGGCAGCTAGTCTTTATCCCTGTCTGCTGCTGACAGACGCTGTGTTTACAGAAGAGTTTCACATTTATAGCAAATACTTTTTTGCCAGGTCACAGTTTGCCACTGCTGAGGGGACTCTGGTGAGGGAAAGGTCATGCCCATGGCCATACGTTCACTGATCATCCATTGCACACCGATGTTAGAGTTCTTAGCTGGATCCAAAACCTTTAATTGTCCTTTTCCTGGGGGCCAAATACAACTTTCAGATACCTTGGTCTGTCTGCACATTAAAACAGGGCTTCGCTGTCCTCTCCCTGTTGCCAGCCCCCACAATCCCCTCCCTTGCTCCCACACTATCCAGCAGCCCCCAGTGCTCTCCTCTACATTGTGTACCCAACCTTCACGGCCAGGGTTGCTCAGGGTTAGTTACTACACCCACTGCTGCGCACACAGCACCGTGCTGCCGTGTAGTAGTTGCCTCTGAGCACTGTATTTCTCCACAGCCACCATCAACATACTCCACCGTGCTTCCTTGTATACACCACTTCTATTCTTCATTCTCCCAATCTCTGCACCACCAACTGCAGCACCCAGGTAGCAGCATCTCATGGTACTTCCCTTAACCCTCCCTGTCCAGTTCTTTGCCCTACGGACAAAGCCCATCCAAGCCGCCTTATTGTGAGAAGCCTTCGCCGGCTGCCCTGGTCTTTGCCTCACGTGGCACAGCCACCTAGCACAGGGCAGCCCTCACCAGCAAGCCATTGCCAGGGCCGTAGAGGAGGAGGGGAGCAATCAGAGTTTAGAGAGGGAAGCCTGGAGATGCAAGGATTCATGTGGCTGTGCAATATCCAAAATAAAGTTAAAAGCACTGCATGGACCGTAATTTTGTTTCTGTTTTTTAACCACTGCCACATCCAAATTCTGGCACAGGTAGGCTGATGGAGAAAAACTGTCATTATTAGTATGTGTTGGGGAAAAAAATAAAAAAACCAACAACAACAAAATCAGTATTTTGTACAAGTTCTTCAATTGAAGAAATTGGGAAGAAGTATGCCAATATATTGTGATGAAATACTAGCAAATGGTCTGCAGTCTTTGAAATAAAACTAATTTTATTTTTAAGGCCCAGTGGCCTTCCTCTTAAGTGGTCCCTAGCTTGCTACAGAGTCAAAATGTTACTGTGTATGATGTGGAAAAAAGTGGGATCTAAACTATCCCAAAATTATTTCCAGTTTTATTGCATAGCAACAACAGAAATCAGGTCTGAGAAGCAAGATATGAATGCATTTTCAGAATCTTCAAGTTCTCAGTTACTTGCTAGCTGGTAAACAAATAAATAATGCAGTGTAAATTGAAATGCATCTCCAGTTTGAGCTGTATAGTGTAATTGTGTACTTGTTGCAATTTAATTCAGCTATAATGAGATTAGAGTTCGCAGATGTGTAGTCCAGTACTTTTGTAAAAGTACATTAACATACACATGAACTACAAAAGCAAGATTCAGTTTTACAGTATTTGCTAAGACTGTCAATGCCTTTACTTGACTCTGCAAAAGTATAATGAAGACTTTTTTTTTCTTTTTTTTTTTCCCCTTCCTTAGTCCCTCAGTTCAACCCTCATGATCTCCAAAGATGAGAGATCAAGAGCCACTTGCCTCTACTTTTTCTGACAGAGCAAAAGGAGCTGAGAAACAGAGCGTGGCAGCTGGGCATCTGGATGGGTTTGAAGTTTCTGCTACGTGCAGCTGTGTCTTTTGGTACTTAAATAGTTCTAAAAAGGTACTTCTTTCCCCAAGTGAATGGTGACTTGCATTCCCTGTTTCTCCCTTGGACAAGTACAAAGTACCACATGCTTAAGGCAGAATGTAAAGCCATAGCATATCCCTCAGTGCTCAAGAGCAAAATGCAAGGACATATCACCCACAGGGCTAAGATGTAGACAGCAAAACCCAACATAAAGTGGCACCTTGACACCAAGCTATATTAACAGCCACCCCTACCAAACACGGGCATTTCAACTGAAAAAACATTGTACATCGCATTTGAAATTGTGTGACCGCCATCCTCGGCGTAGTTGTGGGTTTCTAAGCAGCTTCCAGGCAAGAGGGGCAGAGGGAACTCACCAACCCGTCCAGCAACTCGCAGGACAGAAGGGGTGGTGAGGATTAAGAGGAGAAAACCCATCTGGCTGTTGTTCACCGTGAAGTTATAGTGTTTGATTTGAATATGTTTCAGGAAAATGATTTATTATCATCAGATGAACAATGGAAGTATGTTAATTTACATACCACTTGCACATGTTTTGTTAAATGAATTGTACATGTATCGCAAGTCCAGAAACCTTTAACATTTTGTTCACAGAAGCGTAGTTCGTAAAGAATTTTCTTTTCTTGAAAAGTTGTACTGGAACTTTTTATTCTGTCAGTTTAATCAGTTCCTCAGCAAAACAAAATAGGGAACAACTTTATAGCGATCATTACGGAGATTGCTGTTGTACAATATTTTCCTTTAGGTACAATAAATATAACATTTCCTGTCCTCGCAAGTCTAATATAAAGAAATGGTCCTTTAACCATCATTTTAATGCCTGCTTGAAGTGGGGGAGGGTGGAGAGGAAAAGCTTGTTATCTCCCTGTTGCTGCCTTCTCTTTTCTGAGGGCACACATTAATTATGCTATCTCCAGCCCGGCGCACTGCCCATAAGGGGGCACCCTTGATTGCGGCCTGACGGACACCCAGTGCATCACACTCATGAGCTGCTTCGAGAGCTGTCGGCAAAGATGATGTGGTACTCTCAGCATAAATCTGGGAAGAAAGGCACTGGTATTGGTACCCACTTCAGTGCTGTGACATCTGAGCGCAGCATTCCCCATTGCGCAGCCATTTTTTTTTTAAATGCAAAAAAAAAGACGTGACTACTGTTGCTTTTTTGCTTCTGAAGAAGGGATGGGAAAGAACCACACATTTTAAACCTATATCCAGATTTCTGCAAAGCCAAAAGTTTTAATTGGATTCAAAGTTTGGCTAACATGGGATAGCAAGCAATAGCAGCGAAGAACGACTTCGGGCTTTTGCGTAGTTCCTTGCTCAAATGTGGTTTGACACTGGCTGTGTCTGAACAGAGTAGCTGCTGTCCACCAGCTACCATGACACAAGGCCTTGATCCATGAATCAGCCAGGGCAGGCGTCAATCAGAACATGCTGCAGCTCCCTTCCGGCCCATACGCACGGTGTTTCTCCCCACCGGGACCAGAGCGTGGAAGGGGACAGGAGACAGTCCATGTCTGTCTCTTTAGCTTTGTTTCAGGGTACAGCTGGGGTGCATACAGTGCATACACAGATCTGGAAGCCAGGAGATGCTGTTGAGTCCTGAAATGTAGGCCCAGAAAGCTCCAGGTCAGAGGAAAACTATCATGTTTAACAGGATTAAGCTCTCTTCTGAGTTTGCATTTACCTTGGGCTAAAAGATTATGCAGGGCTCAGATCTGCAATTCTGAAATGTCTGCTTAAAATTCATACGCACTATGTATTTGTGGCTATATTTATGTTGAGGACTGAGTTGCTAGAAAAAGGAGAGAAAAAAAGACAACTCTCCACCCATTACTTTAGTCTACATGTCCTTTTTCAGGATAATAGTTCCAGTTACAAAGACCTAGTATTCTCATCTAGTTTGTTACCTTACATCTTGATGCACAACAACACTAACCTATTTCCTCAAAGTATCTCTCATACATAGGCTTATTGTCATGTCTAGGTATAACACATCAATCTAGACTTCTTTTTTTTTTTTTAAATACCATGCATATTTTCTTTTCAGGTTGTAACATTGGAAGATCCATGAAAAGCACCATGGCTGTGAATCAATGCCTATGGAGATGGTTCTTGTTCTCATTGCAACATTGGTTATTGCCCCGATTGTGCTTGTTCAGCAGAAACAAAGACACTGTCGATTGTACAAGGTGAGTAGCTTGTCAGAAAGACAGCAGTTTTGGAGCTGTAGAGGTTAAGACATCATCTTTCTCAGGCAGCAGTTGGGAGTCATGACATACTCTCAAGCATTTACATCTAGCAAGACAACTGAGCTTCTGTGGAAAACAGCAAGCCATGGCTTTTGGTCAGGTGGAGAATAGCTTTTATGTAGGAAGAAAAAACAACCTGTATTTTATTTTCTGTGTATGCATACTGATGCTGTGGTTAGTCTTTAGTAGGTTAAAGCTTTTAAGGAAAAAGCTTTTGAGTTTTCAAACAACTGTATAATAATGGACTAGGTAGGACAACAAAATCACTATGCTTCTCTAGCTGAAGTAATGCTACAGGGGGTTTACTAAGAGAATCCAAGGCCCCTATTCATCAAATTACTCATGCACATGCCTAATTAGAGACAAAGCTTGTCTTGTGGTTAAGGTGCTAAAACTGGGACTTATGGTGCTTCAGCTCACTTCCTTTCCCCTACCACAGACTTCTCTGCAAACCTGAGACAACTAGAGTGACATGATTTCCACCCCTGACCTCCCCATTCAATGGTTGAAAAGAAGTTAGGCATCTCAGAAAGGGCTATTCCTTAAAAAGCAATGTAAGTTTTAAGTAATTGTTAAACAAATAATGGGGATTACACAGATACCTCAGGCAAACAGAGTTTTAAGCACACAAGCAATTTCTTAGCTTTTCCCTCTTCATCAGCTGATGAGAGCCATCTGTAGGATGAAATCCAGTTTTTTTGTAACTGAACTTCTTGATACCAGTGACATCAATAACAGTCACGATCAATACTTTATCCCTTGGCAATTGCTTCTCAGACTCTGAAGCATCATACCCCCTGATCTGACAGGTCCGTTAAACACTAAAGAATGAAACCTTGATACAATTTACAGAAACTCTTTTAGTAAGGGATATAAAACCAGCCTGATCTATGACAGCTTTACTGTCAGTGGAGTTTCACAGTGGCATAAAATTGCAATACAGAGATTGTGAAACAGGCTCTTCAGCTATACATTACAGAGTTAGGAACAGTGATGAACTGTTCATCATGGCAACATATGCACAGGTGAAGTGTCTAATGAAGTCACAGGTAGTGTAGCTCACTGAGGATTTTAGCTTCGTGTCACTAACTCTCTGCCTTTACAAACACACCTAACCCTGAGTACACACAGGACCTGAGCACTGTATAGTACAATCACATATGATACTACTTTACCATCATGTTCTCTTTAACTTCTCTTCTAGACCAGTTCTGCTGTATCATGCAATCATTTCATGTTTGTGTTAGCATCTCAGATCAGAGATTTTTAAGTATTTCTTTCCTACCAATTTTTGCCTCACTGATTTCAAGAGACATTTATAATAAAGAACACAAGACTGAAGTGACTGAAGTTGCTCAGACTGTCCATGTCTTTGTTTTCCATTGAAAATATCTTGCATGAGACTGGTACCAAATGAGTGCGGAAACACACTCAAACTCATGCATACAATGATGACCAGCTGGGAAAGTCCCTGTCTGCCACAGGGAAAACCTGTGGGAGTCTAAGAAGCATGCACTTTGTGTTGTTTTGGCATTATCCTCCTTAGCAGTATTTAAAGTTAGTTAATGTGTGCTACATTGACTTAACCCCTGTCAAAAATGCCAATAGCCTACACTTGTTACAGTCCTTTTACTTGTGTAACACAGTCTTCAGCAACTGAAGCTTCACTCCCAACTATTAGTTTACAGGAGCCACTCACACCTACAAGGTGACAGAGCCAATATGGAAAAAATACACTTTTAAATGCATTTAGTCTAATGTAGGGAGACTCCAGTACAACTACCACAATCACAACACTTTTATAAGACTCTGTGATGGTTTTTGTGTTTTTGCAGCGCATTTTAACATAAACAAAACATCTGCACCAGAAACATGTCGGGGCCTCAATTTTCAGTGCACAGCTGTGTGGCAGCAGTGAGGCCTCCTTCTCCAGTAAAAGAGGAACTGAAGCAGACCCTCTTTCAGTAAAAATAGTAGCACCAGAAGCTGAAGTTAACTTTGCACTGAGTTTTGGCAGTTCCACTTCATGCTCTGTTTGCTTGGGAGAGTACTATATTCTCACACCTACCATCTATCTATGTATGAAGTTACTTTATAGTAGTGAACTCTACTCACTGTGGGTCTCTGCCAATAGATGGTTTATTGCATTTATCCCATGTTAGGTAACTTAAGAGTATTTGTCACCAGAACAACTTACAAGTTTCTGTATTAAGATATAACTGCCCTCATGTTTCACTTCCAAATGCTTTTGCATAGTTTTTGAACATACTGTTGATCTCATCGCATTAGCTTGCTTTCTTTAAAAGCATGTCATGCAGCAATGTTAAAGTTACTAATTTCTACCAGTACAGTAACTGCCAAAATCTGGTCCACTGTAGTTTGAAGACTAACAAATAGGACAAACATTAAGATCCAAATTCGAACGATTAATGAGATCCTTACACAAGATAGATGAAAAATAACTAGTATACGTTGTTGCAGCGGATAAACCTTCTGATTTAGGAGTAGAAACTGTAAAGATGGTTGCATTTAAGATTTAAACAACTTAGTTAATGCATACAGGAAATTGCCCATTTGACATAAAAATAAACAAACAAAAAAAATAATCTACTGCTCTCCTAAGCACAGGCAGGTCTGGACTTCTGCATTACAGTTCTTCCAGGTGGCAGTTATTATGCTTGCATTCATTTTTGTTTGATTTGGTAGGAAACATTTAAATAAGTCAAAATTTGAAAAACAACCACATGCTTACTAAAGAGAAAACAGCCTTCTACTTTTGCTTGCTTATGCATTTCTCTTACTTGCCATACAGCTTTTGACCCCTCGGTTTATGGCTTTATAGTTCACATATAGGTTATGCACAGCAGTGTCTAATACTGAAGAGAAGAAACCAAACACTTTCCCCTGTTTGTAACAACATGCTTGCACCTTTAGGAGCAAAAGAGAAGGGAAATCAGATGAAGAGATAGAACACATTATTTTCAATGGGAGGGGTAAACCTAAGGCTCCTTTTCTCTGGGTAAAACCTGCTGTCATTTCTATTTTCTGTCCCAGGAGATGAACAAAACAAGTAGCCAGCCTTCTACTGCATATCGTGGCTTGGAAGGAAGCATCAGCTGACAAACCTTTCTGTCTGATTCTTTAAGGTCAGGGTGGAGGTTTGCATGTATATGTCCTTACTCTGGATACTCATGCTATTCTCAGATACAGTAAGAGCTCAGAGAGAATTGCACAGTCCCGTTAGTAGAAACAAAGCAAAGGATTGCAGTGATTGCCTCCCTCCCTCCTCTTCAAAGTGCTTTGCAAACATGTGAAAAAGAAAAGTTTGGGGTTTTTTTGAAAGAAAAAGGAAATGAAGGTCAAAGGAAGCATAAAATCAGCCCTACATGGAAAGGGCATTCATTACATTGCTCGAAAAAAAGCAGCAACTACTTACTAGATGCAAGAGAAACAGCAACAGCCTGTAGCTTCCAAAAGAGCCTTATCCAGGCTTATCGAGAACATAAAATGTCTCCTGGAAAAAAAAAAAAGACAGGGGGAAAAAAAAAGGTATGCTGAGGAAGGCTCCTATTTCAAAGAGTCAAGAGCAGAAAAGTTGCAGCAAAGCAGTCAAGGCTCAGCTGTGGGTAATTTTGGCAAGAGGGAAGAGATTGCCTCTACCAGATGGCTACATATAAAGTAACATGGGTGTGATCCTAGCATAGAGGGGGGTGGAAAAAAAAAATTAAGAAAGAGGTTTTTTCTAGTAAGTCTTTGCTTGAAATAAAATGTAGGGTACTCTGATAATTGCGGGGAGGGGGTGTTCTAGATAGTAGCTGACAGTTTGGGGTTAACTTCCATATGATAAGGAAGCAGATTAGAGAAAATCATTGATTCTCAGTTACTTTTGAGAATTTTGTTATCGTTATTTGAGATTTTTTTTAAAAAAATGGCCTGTGTTCTGCTAATTCACATTGTAAAAACCTGATTTTCAATAGGTTTGCATCAGTGTTCTGATAATGCTCTCATTTTTCCATTTCACTCACAAATTTTGCACTCCTCTAATTCAGTGAGGTGCAGGCAATTATGTGCTTGCAACTGTACTATATACTCTGGAACGTGGCAAAGAAGAATGCTAGCGAGAGAATTACCATCCTTGAAAAAACATTCCTATCCTGTCCTTGCCTATCCATTTTTCTCGACATAAAGGCAAGAGTCTAGCATATCAAATGGGGAAGGAAGGAAAAAGCTTATTAATGTTCTGACTCTGTATTTTCCCAAAGGAAATTCTGACTATCAGCGGATTCTTATAATGCAATTTGCTTGCCATTGGAAGCTGTCCATTGATGAAAATTAAATATATATGATATATGTGGACAAAATTGTTATCCCCTGGCATAATAGAAATCTTAAAATATCTGAGATAGAAAGGCAGATTTGTCATGGTCTCGGAACAATCTCAAACGCAAAAGCCTTCCTTCTGGTCCCATAGGTGGTTGCCCGTTTTACTGATTATACATCTTGTATCACGTGTCAGTCACGTAATAAGAACTTACTTTGGAATATAGTTGAAAAATGAAGCAGCATCATTATGACAGCATTCATTTCTATACCTGAGTAATGAGGCAAATCTTGAATATAAGGTTGGTTGACTTACTTAATATAGAAAACCCTGCCAATTTCCAATGTACTATCAAATATAGGCATATTAATTTAAACCTTAAAAAAAAACCCAAACAGCTGATTTATTATTTCTTTCATGCATGTGTTTTTGAGTATTTGAATATGTCTACATCAAAAGAAACTAGATTTTTTAGAGAGCCAGTTAGCTTGCATTGCCAAGTTAATGAGTTCTGGTAAGGTCAGTCTGTCACAATAAATCTAATTATTACACAGTTATTTTCTTTATGCATGCAGTTTTCACCATATGCTATAAGATGGAAAGGATAATGCCGTTTTGTTGAATTTGCTGGTGATAGGCATTCTTACTTGCTCAGAGTGGGGGGAACATGGTGAGGGAAGCAGAGGGCACATGGACGTGTTTCAGTTGGTGACCTATTTAATCTGCATAATTAGAAAATGGGAAAGTTGTCTATGACGCTGATGCTGACTTCACTTCTAGGTCTTTTTGAGCTCATTTAAAGTACGGTAATGAGAAAAACATTTTACCTTTGGGCAGCAATCTGATTTGTCAGGAAATTCCTCTTGCTATGATGGGTGGATGAGGAAAATTTGGAATAATATGATCCAGATGTTAAAGCTCCCATTTAACAGCAATGCAGATGCATTATTTTATGGAATTGTCCAGATGGTGACCTTCCAGTATTAATAATAAATCAATATTGGGGTTTTCATCTGTATGACTCGATTCCTATCTTTGTCCTGATTTGCATGACAAATACTCATGCATTTCATATAGAGGCTAATAGTATTAAAATTAACAATCCGGCAGACATAAAAATCAATAAGAAAATTTGAAACAATTACTGCAAAAAATGTATACCAATTGATCCAATAACGGCATCACCTGAGAGAAGCTCGTGATACTATTTTTTAATTAATTAGGATTTCATTTTGCAGCTAACGTGATAACAAAGCTCTATTACAGATTGACATCAGAAAGTGGCTAGTTTGCTGAAGATGCATGCCCGTTCAGTTTTGGCTTTGCCGCTTAAATTCAGACTTTACTTTCAGTCTACTGAAAAAAAGCAACCCAGACTACATAAGCATATTGGAGAGGGATCGCGTTGGAGGGTAGCAAGGCAGGCAGACAACAGGGAGCCTTTGGTGGCCTCTGATCAAGGCCAGAAGACCTCAGCCTCTGCGGCCAGGGATGTGTAGGGACCTGTGGCATGCCGGCAGGGCTGTGTGGCACGGCAGGAGCTCTGTCTACTTTTATGGTCACAAGCAGCCGACTGTGCTCCTGTAAAGCCAGGGCTGTAGGGAGGAGAAATGCATAACAGTAATGTGACCTAATGATGCTGTGTTGTTATCTTTTACAGGTGTTTCTATCTGTTAATTTATTTAAATTTATATTGTGAAGTACCAGCTTGCACAATAGTTGCATGCTTTCTGGGGTTTTGAGGAATTTTTTTTTAAAGTTTCTCCTTTTTCTTAAGAGAAGAAGAAGAACCCAGTCCTGCTTCAGCTGAAATCTGTGGCAAAACTGTGATAGGTTTCACAGGGAGTAACAGACATTCCTTCAGAATTCTACTTTTTTTGGCTTAGAGAAAGAGATTCATCTTCCACAGAAATAGCTTTTTACTCTAGATGGATGTTTTTGTTTGCTTTTAAAAAAATCCTCCTGCCCCAAACCAAACATAAATTTGAAAACCATCTCCCCTCAGATTTTTTTTTTTTTTTAGTAACCTTTCTGTAAAGATGCAGGAGCAAAATCAATAAATACATATTAAAGTCAGTCTTGCTTTATCTTTGCCATCATCAGGCTTCCACAATCCCAAATCCATGGTTTATTAATGTGAACGTGGAGAGAACTGGCATTAAAGGGCTTTTGACTCTTCAGTGGGTTTCAAATATTTGCTTATTGGAAAAGAAATAGAATATTTCATCACTGTGGGCAATTTGAATAAATATACATCATTAAGTTTGATATCATTCAATTCACAAAACAGGTTTAAAAGTTTAAGCCACAGCATTTTGTTGTGCTGTAGAAAGAATTTTTAAGAAAAACCTTCATTAGTGTGATCATGTAACTGAGCAACATCCCAAATTAGTGCAGCCAAATGTGCCTTGCTGAGAGTTTATAAGAGCAGCTCTAAGGCTTAAAGGCCAAACTATCTCCAACCAATCTCAGAAAACTTGGTCCCAAAGCTTTAGCCCTGCAATCACCTCCATATGTAACTTGACTTAGAAACAAAACAAAACAAACAAACAAAAAAATCAGTGGTTTTTTCAGTAGCATTAATTCTATCAATAAACAGTTTAGTTTTTCAAGGATAGGCTGCGGGGGCCTGAGAAGTTGTATCTCAGTGACATAACCATTTACTACACCGGGATTACTATTTACAGGGTGCAAGGCAGACCAACGTTATTTTAGGACCAAAGGCCCTCCTGTCTCAGATGCTCTACAAGTCACATTTTTCATATGAGTTTTACAGTTTGGCAATCTGTTAATCAAACCTAACCATGCAAAATGAAAATGTAGGATGTCATTGCTTTGAAATGACTGTCTCAATTTTGCCAACAGTTAGTCACGCCGCTGCAGATGTGGGTTGCTCCTCTTTATTTCACCATCAGACTTTGCTGGTGGAGATCCCTGTCCATGTGGGGAATGCTCTTAGTTATTAACAGTTACATCACTTTCAGAGCAGCCTGCAAGTCTCTCTCAGGAAGAACACTGTGGCATGTCCTTTTTTTGTTGGTTTCACTTTGGTTTGTTTTTTTTGGTTTTGTATTATTTCTTAAAGGAAGCCTCTAGAATGAGAAGAGTAAATAAGAATTGCCCTGGAACAAATATTCACAGATTACAAAAAGGGCCATTAGCAGTTGAATTGGAAGGAATCTTCCAACTGCAGTATGAATAAGTTCCCCTAAACCAGTGTTTATCAAACATGGCATGCAAATGAAAAAGAATTAAACAAGAATTAAATTAATTCCATCAGTTTCATGCAGACTCCTACCATCAGCAGTCATCCCAGGTGTTATTGAGCCTGGAGAGGAACATATACTAGATAGTCTGAATTTATGCCTTAGAGCCCCGTCTGTCTCCCTAAAGAGACTGTATTCAGTCTTCCAAAACTCCTCCTCTCCACCCTGGGCTCTCAAAGACCCAGGTTCAGAGATTAATGGTTCAGAGATTGCTTCTGCTAAATTTTAAGTACTTTAGATAAATTTCATCAGTGGTGTACTGACTTGACTAGATCTAACTTACCTCGGTTGGTTTTTACCTGTTCTTTCCCTGTTCTGGCCTATGTCTCCCTCCTTGACAATTCCCGTTAGTTTTAATTATGTTTACAATATGTTCACAATTACCATTTCTTGTGAAGACTGAAGCAAAACAAAAAGGTTTGCGGGTTTTTTTCCCCTGTACTATACATTTTTATTTGCCTTTAAGTAAGGGAGAAGTACAGAAGTGTAAAATTTCCTTTGAATTTATATGAATACTTCAGTCGAAGCTACCTATGTAGCATTTTGTGCCACTCTGCAAAATACACAAGGTCTTGAGGAGTCTTTCTTTTCTCTTATCCATAGGTTGGTCTACAAATGGTTCCTCCTGATCTATACACTGAGTTGTGCAATTGGAATTGTGGGTTATCTAGCCATAATGTTTACCATGTTTGGATTTAATTTATTCTTTAGATAGGTATCTTCAGGTAAAACTGGGATTGGCAACTGTTATGATGTCCTATTTGATAGATTTTACTTTGCAGTGAATTTGCTCCAGGCTGATCTTCACCACCCACCTCAATCCCTTTTATGTTGTATAGCTCTACGTTCTCTTACTTCTTGATTTTTATTACTGCATAGTTGGTCTGAAGTTTGATATTTAGTCATTTTAGAACTTGTGGTTGTGGTGTGACGACAGCAGGGGAAAAAAACTTAAACTTCATACAGCCACTGTGTTCACTCATTTAATCCCCTAATTTAACTGCTGGCTTAATCCTCAGTCCTTCATTTATGTACCTGAAGGAGATGAGACATAAAAAGGCTTGACATAAAGGATAAAAATAAATAAGCACATTAATATCAAAACCACATTATAATTCTTTCTGATAATTATGATTTCCCACTCTACCAGGCTATAATGTTGCAAGGCAGTTCTCTATTTTGACTATTGCCAAAAACAATACTGTATGTCCAGATGATTCTCAACCTAACCTCTTAATCCAGCTAGAATTTTTGCCTGGGTAGAATTTGAATTTTCTTTGTTTGTCCAGGATTTCTGTCTGACTAGCAGCCCAATCAGAGCTTCTGTGCTGGACTCTGAGACACCATCTGACCAGAAATTCCAGGGATTCCTCAAAAGTGTGTAGATCAACTACATAATGCATCTGCTGTAAGTCCAACACTTCTTGGTGGTACTGGAGATGCACATACATAAATCAGCTATTCCTTTATTGCCCATACATTGTATAGTCAATTCAGCCAAAAGTACATAGCTCTGATGGAAAATTCTTGGCAGAAACTTAACAGTCTTGTGTAACCAATACTCTCAAACTTTATTCTGTTGAGGTATTTTATTTAACCAGCTAAATTCCCCCACCAATATATTTTAAATATATAACTACAAAAATTGTCAGCTCTATTTTAAAGGTTCTTACTTTGTGCCCTGTTGCATCAGAACTGACAAGTCCTTTTTAATGTTGAGAAGCTCCAGTTTTATAAGTATTCGGTAGCCGGGTTTCAGTTTCTCAAGACCTGTAACACATACAATCTGAGAGTGATGACAAGATGTTAACATTTTTGCAGACTCTATTGGGTTGGGGTTTTTTGGGGGATAGGGGGTTAAATACTGCTTGCTGCAATTTTAGCAAAGATTTTATTCTGAGGAATTTGTATTGAGGAGGACAGCAGGCTCTTTCAGCTACAGAAACTTAGCATTTCTTTGACTGGCATCTTACACCTTATTGAGATTTGGCTGACCTTGTTGCTTCTGCAAAACAATGAAATATACCTAATTGTTTTGTATAATAAGACTCTACACAAGTGCCCTGCCTATAAAAAAATGTGTCAGCTTGGCCTTCCTATAACAGAGCTGAGTAGCTGTGGCTCCAAAAGGCGTTCATAGCCTACTTTCAACATTGCTTGCTGTCAAGCATTTGATACTTCAAGTATGGGGGTGTCTGCTGCTGCAAAAGAAAATTAAACTAAACCTGCAGTTTGAAGGAAGCAGGAGCTAACTGGAGTAAAAATCTTATTGATATTGTATTCTGGCTTTTTAGTCAAGAGCATACTCACCTGAGAACTCTTGTGGTTTTATGATAGAACTGAGTCTGACGACTCCATGGATTTTGCTGTGATGCTGCTTTTTTACAGACTGTACTATGGAGAAATGGGAAGAGACTTTGCAGAGGTTTGTTCTGACTACATGGCTTCCACCATTGCTGTAAGTGCTGGGGATCATCATCCTGAATACCACTTGCAAGGACTGGAAGTGAGCTCTTGAATCTCTTGTGCCCCTGGGTTCGTGTGAATAAGGTCTACTAGATACTCTTGCAGTAAACTAACCTCATTTTCCTTGAGGAGAGCTGTTCTTGTGCCACAGTCAAACTGTTGAACTCCCTTGTTAATCTTATTAGAAAGACAGTCTTAATGAAGTACTAACCTGTGACATATGCCAGGGCCTGATTTGGAGTTCCTAACAAGCTGGTCTCTATCTACAAGAGAGTTCGAAATTTTTCTAATTGTCATAGGAAGACAAGCTTCTTACTTCCCCAGAGTCTGTGAAAGACTCTTCTTGCCCTTTTCTTTTTATAGTTCTTATCTTCCCTTTCCAAATAAGGTGATTATCTCAGCACATTTCTATTCTGTTCCAGTTACTTAAAATCAAGCAGACAGTTGCTAAAGTTCTTGCATCAGCAATAAGATTTTAATTATTTCTTGGTAACTCTGTGCATCCTGGCGCTAGTAAACTAGGACAACTGTAGTCATTTTCATGCTGTCTTATCTTTGATGGCACTTAAAATGTGTTTATGCATCCTTGACTCTAAGCAAATATTTTGTTGTTCTTTGGCTTCTTTTTTTCCTGTAAACTTGATCTCGACAGTTTTACAACATCAGTGGCATACCAACAAGAAATTTGTCCAATGATATCTGTGCAATCTGCGGGCAGAAAATTTTTGTGGATATAAATGAAGAAAATACCTACCAGCTGTCCTCTAATCATGTGTATCTTTTCCATGTAATTAAGGAACTGTTGTTTTCTCCTCTTTTATGCTGCATTAAGAAATAATAAGAATGACGATAAATACCAAAAAAAAAAAAAGGAACCAAAACCACATTCAAAAACAACATAGCAGAAAAGTAAAAACAGGAGCTTGAAACATATTTCAGTTCTGTGACACAAGTTGAGGTCACACAGCTTTTTGACAGACAAACCGACACAAAAGTGGCCGTAACCCTACAGTTTCAGGCCTAAATCCTCTTTCCAGGTACTTTGTGCACAGCCTTTGCGTGTGCCTGGCAGGACATTAGACCAGGCACGCTGACCCCTTGGTCAGGTCTGCTAATTCAGGCTCCTGCGTACTGCAGCGGATTTCCTCCGGCTGTGCCGGGCGGGCTGTGTTTGCTGTGTAGTTTTAAGGCAGATGTGGAACCCTTCTGAAAAGACAACACATACATATTCTACAGCCTGACAGAAGACCCAGTGTCTCATACTCGGGGGTACCAAACAACTCAGCATTTTACGTTCCAGAAACTAAAACCAATGGTATTGCATACGGGCTCAAACATCATTACTAATCATCCCCTTCTGCAGTTCATAAAAGTACCCTGGCTTCTTGCAAGCTGGAAAATATGAATACCAGTTCAGGACATTGGATTCAACTTTAAAATAATGGTAAATATTCTAAGGCATTTGAAACTGATCGGTTATAAACGAAGGCAGTATCCATAATCAGTCATTAAAATAATCTGTTGATGGTTTGACTAGGTTTGCAGCTGTGTGCACTGGGCCTTGTTTATATTTGAAAGATTCCTTAACAATACACCTGATACCAGGTTTCATGAATTTTGCATCTGTGGTTGGTGCATTGCTGGCAAGAAGCAGACTTGCCTGTACTGTCCTGAGAAAGTTGATTTGAAGAGAATGTTAAGCCCATATCCTTAAACCCATATCCCTTCCCTAACAAGTGTGCTTTTGATTTGGATTTTCTAAACTGTAGCCTGATTACTGGCTAATTCTTGTTTTGATCTGCAGTGGAGGGATGATATGGCCACATTAAATAAATGGAAAACCAATTATTATTAAGGAACAGTTATATTTAGGGAAGATGATAGTTCTGTTTGTCTTTATCTTATCTAAGACCCCAAGAAAGCTAGGAAAAGTGTGTATATATATTTTCCCTCTTGATTTTAAGACATCCGGAAATCATTTTTATGATGAGAGGAACATTTTGAAGAATGTAAATCGCAGTTTTAGAAAGACCATGCAGTGGATTTTGCTCTTCAATGAAATAACAAAATTGATATAATCCACTTTCAGACCAAGTGCTGTTTTTTTCCTCCCTTAGTAGTTAGTAAACAACATTTTTCCTTTAGAAAATGAAATAATAATTGAAGATCTGCTGCTGCAGCTGTAGAAACCTGCTTGAGTGGAAGCAAAGTTTGGCTTGCTTTTTTGAAGCCTGTTTTAACCATATGTGAGGAGGATATTTAAATTTAACCTTACCCCAAAAAAAAGGAAGTAAATTAGAACAGTTGAAGGCATTTCAAAATTTTAACCCAATACTTTTTCTTTGATTCTGGCTAAGAAAAACACCAAGATTTACCTATTGTTGCATTTTCTCCAGTTTCCTCAACAACAGATTAGGTGGGAACACATGTGTATTGTATGGACAACTTTTGGACTGGCTCTGCTATCTGGTGGTTTGGCAACCGGTTGCTATAGGCATTGTCCAAGGCATTAATTACTCACTGGGTCTAGAATAGAACGCAGATTATTGGTGAGAATGCAAAGGGTTGGATATTTACCTGCCTATAGTAATATGCATATTCTATACTTAATTTTAAGAGACTAGAGAAAATAGCAATTGGTTGAACTCTGGTGTGCTATATACCCTTTTGCAGGATAGTGCCTCTTTTTGCATCACAGCAAGACTGTATAGCATGCTATTAAAGCATTTTTCTTTATTTTCTCAAAGTAAGAATTAAAAGAAATTGCTGCATTTAATGGGAAGATTGTGCTAGAAGAAATAGGACTTGTTTTTTATTATGAATATTCCTTTAAAAAAAGGAAAAGAAAGTGCCAATATTTTAAGTTTGTTTCATTGTTAAATACATTGGTAGTGGCTTCCAGCTGAAATTCTGAGTACAGGAAGTTGTGCAGCAGCTGAGGAGGATTTCAATTCAGATAAGGACTTTGTATACAGCAAATTCTGAAAAATGGCACCCAAATTGTTCATTTTGTTAATACAAGGTAATACAAGATTACCATTAGCTTTTTTCCCCTCACTTCTTTCAAGACCTGCTGTATTGTGACTCGTACATCTTCCAATGGCCATTTACAAAAAGCTCTAACCATGGCAATGTTTGTGGTGTGCTTGGTAGTCAGGCCAATATGTGGAGGTCCTATATTAAGTCCTCTTTTTCTTACTGCCACCATGCTGAAAAGGCCCAGCTTCCAATAACCAGCTTCTCAAACACAGGAGGACAAAGTTACTATCCCTAACCACCAATTTCATAGTTGCTTTGCTTTAAAAAAACCCAAAAACCCACCAAAAAACCCAGATCAAAATGTATGCATGTGCTTAGCAGCCAAATGTCTGACATCTACACTACCCTGGCCACGCTGTGAGGAATTGAAACGCAGCATGGTTGTGCAAGAACAGGCAGTTCTGCTTAGGAGTCAGAGAAGCTGGTCTTAAAAGGTAATTAGCCTAGCTGAAGTAGCTGATGAAATATGGTCAGTATTTTAAGAATCTTTACACTGTTATTAGAAATCAGAAATACAGATTATCTTAATTTACACTTTAATATATATATGAGAATAAAGCAGAGATTGTGTGAAGCCACCTACAGATGAAGGTAAGGTTTAGATGCTAAAAATAGGAAATGCAATTAAAAACCTAAGAAAATGAAAGAAAGAGCAAATCTTTAGTATATATAAAGAAGGTTGCTTTGTCTGCTTAGGTGAAGTAGCAAAGTTAATAATTCTTATAATGTGTTATGTTTGTGTATTCATATATGCAAAAATGTATGTAAATAAATCTTTCCTTTGCGTTACACTGTCTAATTTGCTTAATTGTGGGTATAACAGAAGAATGTTTGTCCTTCTCAATGGCTAGCAGAGGACAAGGACACGTCTGCTCTCACTGATGCGCTGGCTGTGTGGAGAACTTCCTAAAAGCAGTAAGATGACGGGTAACTAGCTGTGACATGCGACTTCCAATGTACAGACTCGATTACAAATATTGAGGTGTTTGAACAGAGATTTTGTACATGTTAGATGCCTGAGACCAAAACACAACGATAAAAACTTGGACATGATCTCATCACAGACACAGCAAAATGTTGTAGGCGTTTCTGTGTGAAGGCTTTTAAGGTCTGCTTCTGTACGTGCTTGGACGTGTCCTACACTGTGCCCAAGCCCTGAACTGATCCAGTAGTTAGTTGTCCCTCTGGCCGACCAGATTCAAGCTACTAGGGTTCATCAGAAATTTCCTGTGGCTACAAGGCAGGTATCACCTAAGATACCTCTTTGTTTTTAAATCACCTCTGAAGAAAGAGCCTGGTGCCAGTGTCTCCCATTTATTCCACTTTTTCAGCAATTAAAAACCTTGTCCCAAAAATCTTCTCAAGAAAACATGGCCCCAGCTGACAGCAAACACAATGTCTGAGGCTGAATGCTGTGTACCCCCTCTGGTTTTGTGGACTATGTTTACAGAGATAGCAGAAAGGTAGAAAACACCCTACAGCCAAGGCTGCTGATCAGAGTATGGTGTTGGATTCAAAGACACTATATATTAGTGTTTCCCACATTCTAGCTGAGAATAGCTTAAACTCCATTTAAGCAAGTCAGAGGTGTGTTTGGACCCTACTCTGAAGCATCTATTCCCAAATATGGTACAATTAAACCAGACAGAAATCATCCATAGGTGTCTTTCACCAAAGAAGTTGTCTGCCATAGAACTTACATGCTACAACAGCCAGCACTGCAGTGTGAGAGTGCATTTTTACGTTAAGCCTTGCAGCCACGATCCTCAGGAGATCTAGACATTTAACTTACAGTGATTGTCAAATACTGCTGAGAATCAGTCCTTAGATCCACTAACTAGGAGAGCCAGGACAAAAATCCTTGCTGCATAAACTGAGTTTTATTGCATTTGATTAGAAGTGGTTTATACAAAGAATGCAGAAAAACCCTTGGCTAGGCAGGCTCTCTCCTAAAGCTTTTGCAAAGATAAAGATACATAAACTACTTAGCTGTATATCTAAACAACTTTTCATCATTAAATATTTAAATGTTAGCTTTTGCTAACACTGCTGATTAACGCATGTAGACAATTTTGTTGTGGTTTAACCCCAGAAGGCAACTCAGCACCGCACAGCCGCTCACTCACTCCTCCCACAGTGGGTCAGGGGAGAGAATCGGAAGGGTAAAAGTGAGAAAATGCGTGGGTTGAGATAAAGGCAGTTTAATAGGTAAAGCAAAACCTGCACACAAGCAAAGCAAAACAAGGAATTCATTCACTACATTCCGTCAGCAGGTGAATGTTTAGCCATTTCCGTGAAAGCAGGGCTCTGTCATGCATAACAGTTACCTGGGAGACAAACACCGTCACTCCAAACATCCTCCCTTCTTGTTTCTTTCCCACAACTCTTATTGCCGAACATGACATTATATGGTACAGGACATCCCTTTGGTCAGTTGGGATCAGCTGTCCCAGCTGTGTCCCATCCCAAACTATCATGCACCCCGAGCATGCTCACTGGCACAGAAAAAGCCTTGATGCTGTGCCAGCACTGTTCAGCAATAACAAAAACATCCCTGTGCTATCAACACTGTGTTGGTCACAAATCCGAACCACAGCAGCATAGGAGCAACTATGAACAAAATTAATTCTATTCTAGCCCAAACCAGTACAACAATTCACGACGACAGCTACCAAAAGAAAATAATCTCACATCAAGTAATAGAATTTACAGTAGCTCAGCGCTCTGTTCTCGAGACACAGATAGGTGATGGGACCAACATGAAAGGGACACAAATCCAGAGTGCATTTGCCACCTACTCAGTCTTTAATGTCCCTGTCTAGGATTTTAGAGCTATTTTCAAATTAAACCAAAACATCTCCTGCTGCTCTTCATCAGGAGGCCACT